AGGTTAGGAACTGTGAATTGACAGGCATAAGTGGCAACGTTCACATATATAACATGAAAAAAAATTAACGGCGCTGCTGTCAGAAAACCAAGGATAATAGCGCGAAATTCAAAATATGGGAAAATAAAACAGTATTTCACAAAATTGGTTAAAAATATAAACATAATTAAAATATGTATTTATAAAATGTAAAAAAATAAATATAAAATAAAAAATAGTAACAAAAAGAAATAGAAAAATATACATATAAGAAACAAAAATTATTATTAAACAATCGCACAATAAATCAAAATCTAAAAAAATTCTTGTTATAATTATAACAATAGCAGTAATAATGATAATTAATTTAATTTTTCAGTTTAATTTTTTAATAATTATTTATGTTTATTTTTATTTGCTTGACAACCCATTCATTTAATTTTGAAACTTAAATTTTCATCGGAGTAAATATCTTCAATAGTGACATAAAGTTTAATTTTAATTATCAATTGTAAATACTGTTAAATTGTAAAATAAAGAAATGTAATAAAATTAAAAGCAAATTACATATTACCACTTTTAATTATGGATATAAATTATAAAAAATAAAAATTTGACACATTTAAATTCCTCTTAACATAACCTCAATCAACATAGATTTTGATAAAAATCAAACATTAAAATTGAATCTTTTAAATAATCATATATAAATTAGTGTAACTTTGGTTTCAGTAGCAAAAGCCAATTTTAGTCAGCTAGTGTAAAGCAACGAGTAAAAGAAAGTTGCAGTCAGGCACAATGATTACAAAATATTTATAATTTATAAATGATGATATAAAAATTGAATAAATTTTAGAAATTAATTTAAATAATAAATGTTGGAAAAATATATGAAAAATAATCATATCTTAAAGACATGATTTCTGTCTCATAGAGGGAGCGTTTTTAGTATCATGCCGCTTTATTATTCAAGAGCCATATTTACTCATTGGATTCAATTCGGATTCACTTACGATATGATTTACGCAGTGATGGCGAAGGTACCTGACACCGATGATATAAATTTATTGGCTTTGGTCGACGCCCTAAAATGCGCGAACTGGGAGATAAAAAGCTGGGAAAACAAAGCTGTTTTTGGAAACATAATAAGGCGAAAAAATAATTCAAATAAATTTTAAATTGTCTTCCCCTACATTGAGGGGAAAAAATCTATAATTGTCTATTTTCCCATTTTTAAAAATTAAAATTGTATTTACTAAATTGTTATTAAAATTAATATTACATTATTTTAAAATTTTTATAATTTCCTTTCAAGTGTAGTAGGTATATGGGATTATCTTTTTAGAAAATAAAATTCTATTTTAGAAAAAGGTCTATAAGGAAATAGGAATTTCTTTGAAAACGTGACTCCATGTAAAATTTACGGCGCTATTTTGTCGTTGGATATTGTATTTTTATTCGTTCTCTGTGTAAATCGATGTCCATAACCGACCAGTGTTTTACAATACATATGATTCTAAATCAAAACGAGAGTATTTTATTCGATAAGAGATCGCCTTTAAATATTGAAATCTCTTTTTCCTTTCATCCCACATTTAACCATTTATTGACCATCACGAAATGAGAATAAAGTATATTTTATGGAAACTCTCGATACAATGTATTATAATAGCAAATGAGAATTTCTATTCCTGTAAAGTCAAAACAAAAATATACGAAATTGGTAAAATTTAATTTTAATACATCGTTGTGTAGTAATTATGCAAATATTGCATTGAAATGATATGTTTTAATTTTGTAATTAATTTTACAAAGTTACGAAAAATATTTCTTTCAAAAGAATTAAATTGTTTTTATTTTGTCAAAAAAAAAAAAAAAAGAAAGAAAGATATACAGAATGACAAATGATTTTTAGCACTTGTCACATTATGAGAAGTGAATTCGTTAATGATCCTCAGAAAAAAGATTCAGTGGGGAAAAAAAGGGAACAAACGGTCTAAAAGCCAAAAGAAAAAGTGGGGCCGTTATGCTGATGCCCTAACATATCGTGTCGAGCCAACGAAGCCTTGGAGCATTTTCGTTCTGAATTGTGAGTAGGACACTGTGGTCTCGAGTATGTAGACACCCTAACCACATTATGGGGCTTTTGAAAGATATACGATGTCAGTAAGGTGGCGAATGTTACTCCTCTTATTTATCCATGAAACTGTTTACACCTGCAAATAAAAAGCTTCAAACTATATTTCACTTTTGTCCACTAACTTCATTTTTTCTTCCAATAATGAAACACCAATTAGTACACAGAAAATGTGAAAAGTTATTTAACAAAAAAAAAAAATGAATTTCAAAAAAACAAAAGAAAAACTCAAATTAGAGGAATTTTTTTGCCTAAACTTTGAAGAAATAGAGAAATAATTTGTGAGACGAAAGTCGAGAACAAAGAGTCCATTTGATAGTGAAGTTGGGTCTCGATCGTAATGTCATTCAGTCGGTAGATCATACGAGCAGTGTTGCCAACGGTTGCTCGGATCGAGATGCTTTATTAGTGCACCCTGAAGCAAGGGGGACCTGTGTCAATGGGAACAACGCTCGCTCTCCTATTTACTCGAGGGTTGGCATTCGACGGGAGTAGCATGCTGGTCTCTAAGGCGAGGAGGAGAGTGGTGGCCCTCGCGAACCCGAACATGAATTAAAGTTTTAATTTCTCTAAATCACTGTTCGCCCTCGAGCTCTTTCCACCAGACGGTCCGTTACTTATAGCATTTGCTCTCTTACTGCCTTCTTTCATCCCCCTTTTTTTCCATGAAAGTCCTGCAAAACCAGTCGAAATCGATATGCATTTGTCCTCTAACATTTTACATTGATCCACTCGACAACTTTAATTGAAAATAATACTTTTTTCTTTCTTTTTCTATTTAGTCTATTTAAACAAATTTTAATTACTAATTTTATGTACTTTTAATTAAAATATATTTTAATCTTTGACAGAAGCAAATAGTTTTTAATGATCAGGTATAATTTTACAGAAATTAAAGTGATTGTAGCTCAGAGTAGGTGTGTAATAATATAATTTCAGTTTGACTTCTACTTTGACATTAACTTTGACTTTAAATTTCACTTTCACTCTGCATTTTTCAGTGAAAAATTGAAAGTGAAAATGAATGTGATAATAAAAGTGAAATATTCAATGTCGAAGTAAAAGTCAAAATAAAATTACATATGTTTCTCGCGTGATCCTCACTCCTTGAGTTACAGATTCATTCTCACTTTAACTTACAGTACTTTTTTTACACTTTCACTCTTACTTAAACTAAAATTATTTCTTTCATTTTCACTTACAATAAAATTACTTTTTTACATTATTCTGACTTTCATTTATACTTTTACCATAATTAATATTTTTACACTTTCACTCTTACACAGAAAATTAAAAGGCATTAAAATAAGCTGCAACGCTTCTTATTTTAATCCAATTTTGCTTATTTTAATACCAAAATGGATTAAAATAAGCAAAATTGGATTAAAATAATAAGCGTTGCAGCTTATTTTAATGCCTTTTAATTTTTTGTGTACTACTTCTTACATTAACACTAAATTTTTTTTTTAAACTATCACTCCCACTTTCAGTTTTAATTAAAAAAAAATATTTACACTTTCACTCCCTCGTTTACTATAAAATTATTTTTTACACTTCACATAAAAACTGTCAATGAATAAGACGTGTCACATGGCTAGAAGGAAAAGTTACCTTAAGCATAAATAAAAGTTTATCATTGCAGAGTTTTTTTTAGTAATTTTTTATTTTTGCAAAATTTTTTTAAAAAAAACAATTTCAGTTGCTTATTTAGTGATTCCCTACAAAAATTGTATCCTTCTAACGTTATTTTCTAACTCACAATGAAATATCGATTAACTAAGTAAGTTGGAAACATCTGAAACAATAATTTTTAAGGGTTTGCCCCCCGCAAAGCTCAATATGAGAGTCGTAAACTAAAATCAGTTATTCCCATTAGAGAGGTGGCTGAATTTTCGGCGCGTTATTCTGAAAACCGTAACCCGATGTCTGTGTGAGGGTTGTTCGTTTAAAATCATGACTTCGCGGTAGGGTTGGGTATATACGAAGACTATGGCGTTAGTATTAACGTTAGGTGCCACCAGTGCCCTACACCGGCTACAAGAACTTCGTTTCTACCTTCTCCCCTAACCCCACCTCATTCCCCCCGCCCCCGGGTGACATATTGTTTCCATTCTACTCGCGGGCTAAAGTGCAATAAAAAACCGGCATAAATATCACCATCCCCGGTTTTAGGCGTAAGAACCGAGATGCTGGATATACATATATAACCAACAGAAACACACAGTAGCGCGAGTATTTCGATTGTTCAAATGTGAATATTCGTGTGCGTAAAAGGCACACTAATTTGTCTGAGTGGCTTTTTAGAACTCAACCACTAAACAAAACTTTTATATAAAATTATACCATATATAAGACTTTTTTTCAAAGATATAGAAATCTTTCGATATTTTTAGTCCCGTTTAGAAATTTTTACCATGAAATTATTTAAATTGTTTCGAACTTGACCATTTTTATCACACAGTAAATTGTAAAGTATTATTTTAATACCAAAATGGATTAAAATAAGATGCAACGATTTAATCCATCGAAGATTAAAATTCCAAAATTTAAAAAAACAAACTTAGAAACATTTATTTTTACGAAATTGAAAAAAACATAATTCAAATAATATTAAAATAGATTATTTTGATCTTTTATGGTATAAATTTAAACTGCAATGCTTTTTAATACCTCACACAGTTTACTGTGGCTAGTTTATTGATCTATTGTATTTATAAATACTACCTTTAGCGTTCGAACCGGAATCTCATGATTACTTCATATGTTTTCAAAAATACAATAACGTTAACTTTACAATTTTTGTTTCATTTATTTTATAGATTGAAATAGTTGAAAAATTTCTATACGGGATACAAAAAATAATAAAATTTTATCTTGTACTTACAGCGTAACGGGTTCCTCAGGACTTGGTGGCGAGGTAGTAATTGCGACAGGAGTAGGTCGTCGCGAACTTCCGGGTGATCTTCCTCGGTCATCCGTCTAGAAAATGTAAAAAATGTAATATCTTTTTAATTAATTAACAATGTTTTAAAATTAGAGAATAAAAACTGCGTTTTAATATAGAATTCATTTTCTTTTTCTTCGTTTCCTTTTATTAATATAATACAGGAAAAAAATGTTAATAAAAGTATAATATACAGTTTCTATTTCGCAAATTAAAAAAGAACTTTTATTAAAAATAATTTTGAAATTCAAATTTTGTTATTAAAATTTTTAATATAAAATTACATAAAATGGAAAGTACTTATGAAATCGTTATTATAAAAATTCTTTCTTTTCCTTTGAAATCTATGAAGTATTAAATTTTTAAAAAATCTCTTTTTATACCATATTTTTTTAGTTCATAAAATACGATAAATGATTGTGAATTATTTTAAAAACAAAGTCCTTTACAAACGGGAGATGTATAAAAATAAAAAACAATTTTCCACCTGTTTTTTAAGTCAAATATGTATGTAACTTTTTTTGGAATATCGGAACCTCGAAATCAGAGCAACAGGTAGGATTCTACCTGTCCTCGAATCTTGGCAGTCTAAGATCCAACGATAAAGGCCCTCACAACCTTATGGTAAGTCATCGAAATTCACCCCTCGTACCGTGTTCTTGAAACGAGCATTCAAAATTATTTCCACGTCACAAAAGCTGGGCCAATAAATGTCCACAAAGAAACCAACGGATTAAACACTTATTTTCGAATTGATTTACGAGAAACGAGTTCTGAATTATTTCACAAAGTTTTAATTGCTACGAATGTTAAATAGAGAGTACCCTTTTATTACAATGTTCGGCCCTGTTATGACTCTCGCGAGCAAAATTATATGGAAATCCTCCTTCAAATAGCAAGAAATTTCTACAAAAATTTACTCTTTTTCTTGTAATTGCACCAAATGCCAAAAATTTTGTTTTTAAAGGGATTTTCATTTTTTTCGATACAGTTAGAGTAATAAAATAAATATTTTAATGAAATAATAATAGTAATATTGATGAGAGCAATAATATTTTCATTACATAATTCTTTATACAATTTTTATGATAATTTTATATAATTTTTACGAAGCTGAAGTACGCAACGTTTATAATAAACGATTTTTAAAGAAATCATTTTTCAAAATGAAAAATTCTATAATTTTTCGTCTAAAAAATATTTCTTTTAGTTTTCATTAATCAACAAATTATAAAAAAAAATATTTTTTAGGCAAAAAATTGTAGAATTTTTTATTTTAAAAAATTATTTCTTTAAAAATCGTTTATCATAAACGTTGCGTACTTCAGCTTCGTTAATTTTTATTATTTAAAAATTTTTCTTACACTTTTGCACCATTTTAAGTCACCATATACTTCTTGACATCCTCTTTTGTAATAATTTTAAGTTCTTTAACTCTTTTTTATTTTGCTTCTGTCTTTGGATTTTACATCTTTCTATACAAATCTTTTATTCTTTTCATTTCTTTTATATAATATTTCTCTCCATGAAATTTCCATTTTTTGGTTTTTAATTTCTGTTCTTTCTTACAATATTTTTTCTAAGAATTTGAAGATTTACTCCTGAAACATCGTAAAGCAATAATAATTTTTGCTCAGCTTTCGGTTGTACCAGTAAAAAGTGTAAGAATTTGAGTATATGTTTTTTGTCTGTAAATGATAATACATCGAATTTATATACATTTATTTTACAACTTAAAAATTAGAAAAATTAAAAAAAATTAGATTTAAAAACAATATTATTTAACTTATTAGAATTATATTTTTATGTACCTCCTTTTACCTAACCTAAAAACTATTCACTTCCCACTCACACTTTACAACCAAAAAATAAGATGTCTGGCATTAATTAACTTCTTACCTTCTATAAAATTTCAACTTAAATGCGTCGAATTCATAAGAACTAATATTTCAGACAAAGAAAGCTGCATTGTTTAATTTTCAATAAAAAATGTAAATGTTTACGTTATATCTGTCACCAAAACAGAGCAAACCCTCCGGCCATATTGTTTAGTGATGTCACAACCACCATTTACAAGAAAATAATCAGTGAAACATCCGAATTGTGAAACATTGCAGCGAATGGTAGCTTTTTTCGATACATGGCGGGGAACTAGAATGAAGAAAAGCAGGGTGAAGAAGGTGTCAAAAATATAAAGATATGGTATATTTCGGAGGTTCTACTGGAATTTCAGTGGAAATTTCTGCGTCTTTTCTAAACTAACTTTTTAGTTTAAGGGTATGTGGGAACCTCCCACGTGACCTAGTATGGGAAAATGTGTTTTGGTAGTATACATTTCACTCTAAAATGAGAAGAGATTTTTGTCTAAAATTTTGAGGGATGATAAATTAGGGTACAAGGAATCTCGCTGTTCTCCGAAAAATACATAATTTTGAGTTAAATTATTAAAAAATGATGTTTAAAAAGTTTAATTTTTAAACGAAAATGAAAAGAAACATGGCGTCGCATACACAGTCGTTGCTTGAGTGTGTCAGTGCTCCAGTAAACAGCGCTAATTCGAGCGAGTGTCCGCTGAATGAACTATGATAAAACACATTATGTTACTATTTATTGCTTTATTTTTATTATTTTCGCGTTAAGTTATAGTAAATGAGAAGAATAGCGAGATTTCTTGTACCAAACCAAACCATTTTTCCAACATTTTAAACCGAAATCATTTTTTATTTCAGAGAAAGTTTCAAACCACAAAAAAATATCCTTTGCCCACATAATCTTAAACCAAACATATAATTTTCATTCAAAGAAATTATGGAGCATTTACACCGAGATTTACACCTTTGGTAAAAAATTTTTTTATTTTGCATTTTCCGAAATACACAAACCTGATTGGTTTTTTACAATCTGATTGATAAAATGGACAACCAATTAGATTTTTGCGTTTTGGAAAATCAAAGTAAAAATTTTTTTTTACCAAAGGTGTAAATGCTCCATTAGGCTCTGTCAGTTCATCGATATATTTCGAGTTCAAGATATGACGTCAGAGGCCTGGAGGGACAACAAAGCAGACGACACGTTATAATCTTATGAAGAAATGTCACTTTTATTAAATTTATTCAGATCTTAATCACTTGAAATGCTTGTTGGCTTGAAGTAACAGTAAAATGTGCTTTATTAATCAAATGTGTTATGCATGTGAGCCATTTGCTTGTATATGTATATTCCAACATTTGTCAATAAATTTGTTTTGGTGAGGTTATGAGTGTTTGTTTACAGTTTACAAAGTAAATTTTATATTTTAAAAGCATAATAAAACGATATTTTGTATACAAAATATCGTTTTATTATATATAATATGTATAAATATTATATTTAAAATATGTGAAGGACATATTTTAAATGAAAATCAACGTAAATTGTATAAAATAAAAAGTAACCCAGATAACAAACGTGTCTGGCACGTTACAGGCACAACGAGCGGCGGACCGTGTCCCTGCTGTAACGCACCTTTTGTGCCACCTACTTTATGACAAGACCGACTGTGCCAGCATCGTGCTCGCAATATTCCTGACATATTATCCGGATCTTTTGTCCAGGATATATCTGCCAATAGGCTTGTTTAAATTTCTGTTTTTGAATCTTCATTATAAATAAAAAAAGTATTACTTTCACTAATAAAATTAAATAATTTATAAATAAATTAATTTTAGAAATGTTAAGAAAAGAAAATTCTTAAAATATAAGAAAGTTAAGGAGATTATTCATAAAATGAAGGAGTTTAGAAAATGTAAGAACAAAGCTCTAAAGAACGAAAAAAGCTTAAAATATTTAAAAATGCCTAAAACAAAAACTAAACAGCTTTAAATTTTAAAAAAATTATGAAATGTTAAAAATTGTATAAAATAAAATGTTGTAAGAAAATAGAAGAATTTATAAACGAATATAAAAAGAATCTGAAAATTAAAAAAAAATTGAAATGATTTACATAAATATTTTTTAAAAATTAAAGAAAATGTTATAACAGAACGAAAAACTACTGAAATATAGGAACAATTGGGAAATTTGTAAAAATACAGGAAAAAATGCAAAAAAAACTGACTAGAATCTATTAAAAAAGAATAATATAAGGAAAAAGTTATTCAGTTTAGAGAAGGGACAACATTTCTAAGAAATGAAAAAATTATGAAAAACTATAAAATTTATTAAATGAGCAAAGAATGATAAAAAATTATAAAGGAACTTAACAACAAAATGAGAAAATAACGTATAAACACACACAGCACATGATATTTTCTAAATATTTCTGAAATATTTCATTGAAATTTTGAAATATTCCAATGTAAAGTCCTTGAAATATTGCTGAAATTAGGGAAATGTCCGCCTGTAAGTAATATTGCCGTGTAATTTTGCTGAAATATTTCATTAAAATATTATAGAAAAATTCCAACTTAAATGATGCTAAGGATCCTAAGGTGTTGAACATGTTAGAAAATAACGATTGATTTCATATTTTAAAAAAGTTTCTAACTTTGAAATATTTTTTGAATATTGCAGAGTCTTCATTTGTAATATTGCAGGAGTCATAATGTGTAATATTTCAGCAAAATTTCACGGCAATATTTCTTATAGGCGGCCATTTTCCTGTTTTCATCAACATTTCATGAACCTTGCATTGAAATATTTCAAATCTTTCAATGAAATATTCATGAAATGTTTATGAAATATAATGTGATGTGTGGGAAAAAAAGAAAATCCTTAAAAAAATTAAACGATTAACTGAAAAGTTTTTTAAAAATTGTACTAAATATTAAACAAATAAAAATTAATGAAACGAATTGAATTAATTGAATAATAAATTGAAAATTGGATGGAATAAATTTTAAAAAAACTATGAAAACTTTTAATAAAGCTAATAAGTTTGACTTCGAAATATTTATTTTGTCTTACTTTAACAAAGAAATAAATTAATGAATTAATAAAATAAAGATAGATTTAATTATTAATGTTACATTGAGAATTTATATCGATGGCTCGTAAA